TTTCTCTTCACTGGAAGTTTTCAAACAGTGGCTGGATAGTAACTTATCAGGGATGGTGTAGTGAATCCTGCAGTGTGCAAGGGGTAGATTTGATGATCTCTTAGGTTCCTTCCAATTATATTATTCTACAGTATATTTAATTTGTTACATCTAGAGTTTTCAATGATTTGGCTGTGTACTGAAACCAATCTCTTTCCTTTATCTTGGAATTCTGATGATAGAAAAATGATACATGACATTTTGAATATGGAAAAGGAGGAAATTTGAAATGAAAGTGTTTTATATAGTGCTTTTAAATCTTAAAAACTTTTAGACGTGTGGATTTCAGTCCTAGAATTATCAACAAAGGCCATGCTTGCTGGGAAATTCAGGGAGTTGAAGTTCACACAACAGGAAAATACTCAGGTGGGAAAAAACTTTCCAGAAGAGAAGTGTTTCTCTCATACACACACTTCAGAAAGAATTTCTGATATTTGACACAGAGAACACAAGAAAGCCTCAGTCTAAAGTTTTGTATTCTTCTCTAAATCTTTTGAAGTAAACTAAAACACCTAGTAACTCAAGAAGAAAAAAATCAGGAGTCTTTTCTAACATTCAGTGTAAAGACTGTAACAGCCATACTGTAGGACAGACATGCTGAAGACTGGCAAAGCACATCCATAAACACCAATCAGCATTCAGATGAGACAATGGAAACTCCTTAATTTGATAACACATGTACAGACTCGGCTATATTGTAGTTTCAATGGAAACTGTGAGTATCCTGGACCAAGCTAAATCCAAAAATATTAAAGAATTCCTGGAAGCTTGGCATTTGGACAAATCAGCAATTAATAGATACATAGAGATAAACTGCATTTACACACCATTCAAAAGAAACAATTAAAAAGCTATGAAGGAAAGGAAAAAACCACAACTATTTCTTTCCAACTATCTATATTGAGATAAGCAGAGATTAATACAAGACAAATAAGCAAACAGAAAACAATATCCTAATCAAGGAACTACCTAGGAGAAAACCATACCCTCACCAACAATGGCAGGGCAAGCTACTCTGTGTAAACAAGGAGTAAACCCACACTCATGTCTACGGATGATGTAACCTAGTAGGTAATGAAATGTCTGCAAATAAACAAGCGCTAAGAAAACCAAGGACTCCATAAATATTTTTGTGTTTCTCATGAAACCCTAAGTGATGCAGGTTATCCTAGTTATTGTTACAACAAAATGATTCACTATCAGTACCACTCTGAATTTTTTATACTAAATACATTTTAAAGAAATGTTTTTTTCTTTATGGTCCCATCTAAGAGGGTTTCATATCTTTGAAATCTGGAAAATAACATTGAGAAGAAGAAAAAAGAGTCTCAGCAGAAAAGAAGGGTTATTTTATTATTTGTGAAGGCACCATCCTTTGATGCAGCAGGTGCCACAATGTCCCCCAATTTTCAGCAGCAAGATTTTTTGATCAACATATTTTGATGTTGGTTAGAAATCTTTTGTCATGAGGATACTGACATAACTGATGTAATGTTTCAAATGCATTAGAACATCAATTCTTCTGATTTAGAAACAGACCACAATAGAATGGCTTGTTTTATATAACCAGACCTCATCATGTAACTCTGAGAACAAATACTTAAAAGGCATTTCCAAGCTGAAATAACTGTATTAACTAGACTCAGGAAAAGAGAACTTATTCTTTTTGTTGTGAAAGTTTCATATTCTGAGCAATGGAAAATTTCACACTAGAAGATTTGTATTACATTATGTTTTATTATCCAAGGTTGCAATCCTATGGTACCCTCTTAGTAACTAAGAGATCTCTATATTTCTAGTTTCAATTCCCAGCTCATTTTCTTCATGTCAAACATTCTAGTATGTGAGCATGGAAACAATGGAGATTCTCAAATCATCCAGGTCATGGTTGTCCCAAAAGTGCTTTTTCAAGAGGCAACTGGACTGTTGTTTTTCTTTGAAGATGTTTCACTTCTCATCGAAAAAGTTTCTTGGAGGAGAAGAGAAACTTCTTCAAAGAAAAACAAGAAAGTCCAGTTACCTCTTGAAAAAGCACCTTTGGGATAGAAACAGAGACACATTGCAGATTGAAAAAGGAGGGTCTTTGTATTCATGTTAACTTCCTGACACATCAAGAAAAACGTAGTTCAGCACTTGTTAGGACTACCATATCTGGGTTGCAAGATAGCTCCAGATAGCTCCTTGATGGTAACAGCAAAGAGATTCAACAACACTCTGCAACCTTGATACAATATATCTGCAACCTTGATACACAGTATCCTGTTCTGACCTTAATTGTCTCCCCCCCCCCACTTGTTGCTTACAAGAAGGACAGATTCTCCCCCCCCCCCCGAAAAACTGCACTTAGTATGAGATGCAGAGACATCCATATCTTTCCATCCAATGTTAGTTTGGGGCCACTTAGGAATTAGAAAACTTGATGCTTCTGATATAAAAATCACTCTGGAAAGGAGTTAAAAGGCATATTGATTTGCTGCTACTTGCCTCTAAGTTAATTTCATGCATTTATTTAAAAAGAAGTTTCATGAAAGTATGAATGTATGGAATATTCTGTTGACTTTAGTATTGTATAATACGTATCATGAAAGTTTTGTTCCAAGGTAGCAGCAATTGCTGCTTTGAGAAATCCTTAAAGGTATTTCCAGCACCACATTTGCCAAATAAACATTGAACAAATTTCAAAACCTGCAGAAACATGCTGATCTAATATATCACCTTCATGAATAATATGCTTTGGTAACTCATAATGCTATCAATAGATTTTCAAGGAAGAGATAAGGCTAGCACTCTTAACTCATAAGCACATATATCTGTTTACCATATAGATCCTGTCTTTTCTTTAAGACAATTCTCTTCTTATAAATATAAGTATGATTTTTTTTCCCCAAAAGTAAATTTGGATTTAAATAACTATCTCAGGAAAGATCAATATGATTGCAGCAGGTTTCATGTGGAGTTAGGCTCAGCTTTCTTTTTCCAGATTTATTGGTCCTTATTGAAAAATATTGTCTCTTCTCCATTCTTGAATACTTCAATGAAGCCAAAATTTCAAATTTTCTTTTTTATAAGTACAGTAAATCAGATAGAATTTTAGAGGAAAGGGATAACAATAACAAAAGACGATAAGAGAAAATAAAATAAAATGATGGTAATAAAGAAAAAGCAGGGTTTATAAACTGGAGGAAAAAATATATGAAATATTATGAGATTGTTTTTTACCCAGTTGAATTTAGTTGAATTTCGTGGAATAAAATTATAGCAGCAACATCAATAATTGGCGCATATATATATATATATATATATATATATATATATATGTATGTATGTATGTATGTATGTATGTATGTATGTATGTATGTATGTATGTATATGTATATATTAAACGAATAAAACCGAGCACCAAGAGAAGTAAAGTATAAAAGTTTAAAAATTTACTGAGCCGAGCTTTCGTCAGAACCCGTCTGACATCATCAGGGCGTTAAAACAGCAGTCTGGGAGAAACCCTTATAAAGTGTGTGTGTCAATTGCTTGCATTCGGCTTCTGCTACGCGTCATCGGACCCAGCTGCTCCTGCCGTGCTAGAGGCAAGGTGCCTACTCCCGTGTAGGGGGTCCCTTTAAGTGTTTCAATGACTTTTTTTTTTTTTTTTTTTTTTTTTTTTTTTTTTTTTTTTTTTTTTTTTTTTTTTTTTTTTTTTTTTTTTTTTTTTTTTTTTTTTATTATTAAATTTATACCCCGCCCTTCTCCCGGAGGACTCAGGGCGGCTTACAGCCAGTTTAAAACAGTAATACAATACAAAATTTAAAAAGATTAAAAATAAATATTTAAATTTGGCCGCTTCTACTAAAAATTTAATTTAAAACCCCTTTAAAATACCCCTAGGCCAGTCCTGCCTGCTGAAA